GGTATTGATTCTTTGAATCCAGGAGCATGGAATATCTTTCCATTTTCTGAAATTCTCTATGATTTCTTTTTTAATTCTACTCTGAGTTCCTCCATCACTTTCGGCTCTTGTTACTTTACTTCTGAAGCTGTTAATTCAATCATTTCAGCTGAGATATTGTCATCTGCACTTGATAATGGTGGATTTGGGGCCTGAGATTGCATTTTGCTCTTTGTCTTCATCATTTCCTATAGCACTGACCTCTGATCGTTGGTGTAGAGCTTTGGTTCAGTTATAACCTTAGCACCTACTGAAATTGGGGTGCATATCTATTAAATTTGTGTTTAACCAATTGTGTGTGGTCTATGTTTGTCTGTTGTATTCATCTCCTTCCTGCTGCAGCCCTTAGAAGGGAATCTGTTGTATCCCTCTGGGAGAAGAGTGAACCTGTAGTGCCCCTGTGTTGTGTCCCTGACCCAGGGAGCACAGGGAAGCACAGACACTAGCTGGTCTGTGCTTGGCCTGGATCTAGGGGTCCCAAGACAGTTGCAGAAGTTCTCACTCACTTGGCAGACTTGGGGGCAGGATCTCCAGAGGTTTGCAGAGGTCCTGATGCCATGGTAAATGTTTGCAGTGATGCGGGTGCGTGAGTTTTGGTCTGCAGGAGTCCCGCGGGTGAAGCGAAGATGAAGCTTTCCCACAGGCTCACCGGGCAAGGGCTGCACTGGATCTGGGGTGCCCAGAGAGTCGCTGAATTTCTCCTTCACTCTGGAGGCATTGCTTCGGTGCCTCCGGAAGTTGCAGGGGTCCTGCTGGCATAGGAGAGTTTCTCACCCTCGCAGGTGCCTCAGTTTTGGTAAATTTCTTGTAGAATTCAGCTTTGAATCCAGCAGGACCTGCACTTTTCTTTCTTGATTTTTTTTATTACATATCTTATTGCATTGGTTGTTATTGTGCTATTGAGAGTGGTTCTATCTTGTTGATTCAGTTTTGCAAATGTGCACCTTTCTAGGAATCTGTAAATTTCGTCTGTGTATTCTATTCTGTGAGAGTAAAATTTCTCAAAGTAGCTATTGATAATCTTCTGAATTTCCACTGGGTCTGTGGAAATTACACTCTTTTCATTCCTTATTGCTTGTATTTGAATTTTTTCTTTCCAGTTTCTGATGAGGTTAGCTAGGACCTTATCGATTTTATTTAATCATTCAAAGAACCAGCTTTTTGATTCATTATTTCTTTGAACTGTTTTCTTTATCTCATTTCATTCATTTCTGCTTTAATCTTTATGATTTTTTTTCTCCGTCTTTGGGCTCTGGGTTTGCTTTGCTCTTTCTTTTCTAGATGATGGAGGTATAGCATTAGGGTGTTTATTTGAGCCCATTCTGTTTTGCTAATATGTGAGTTCACAGCTATGAATTTCCCTCTGAGAACTGCTTTCATCACATCCCATAAATTCCCATAAGTTGTGATCGCATTTTCATTGAATTGTAGATATTGTTGAATTTCTTGTTTAATTTCATCTGTGATCCATTGATTGCAGAATAGTGTGTTATTTAATTTCCATGTATTTTTTTCAGGTTTCTTTTGTCATTTATTCCCAGGTTTATTGCACTGTGGTTAGATAATATGCATTAATTAATTTCTGTTTTCTTTCACATACTTAAGCATGACCTATGGACTAGTATATGATGTATTTTAGAAAATGACACATGTGTAGCTGAAAAAACGTACATCCAGCTGTGTTTGGGTGGAACACTCTTTATATGTCCACTAAGTACATTTCTTCCAAGCTCTGGGTCAGTTCTGCTACTTCTTTGCTAATTTTTTGTCTGTTGACCTATCTTTTTGGGACAAGGGGGTGTTAATTCTCTTGTTTAGTATGTGGCATTGATGTTAGATGTTTCATGTCCATTGAGATATGTTTATTATTTGGGTGCTCCCTTGTTTGCTTTGTACATATTTATGAGTGTTACCACTTCCTCTTGAATTTTTCTCTTAACCAGTCTACAGTGGCCTTCTTTATTTCGATCGACGATTCTTGCTTTCAAGTTGAGAGTGTTTGAGAACAGGTTTGCTACCCCTGTTTTTTTCTGAGGTGCAAGGGCATGTAGTATTGTTTTCCAACATTTGACATTCAGCCTATGAATGTCTTTATGAGTTAAATGTGTTTCTTGTATACAGCATATTGGTGGATTTTTTTTCCTAGTTCACTGTGCCAGTTTATTTCTCTTAATTGGGGAATTGCGTCCATTTACATTGATGGTTATAATTGAGATGTGTTGATTTATAATTGACATGTTATTTACCTGTTGTCGTTTACTCCTTTTTCTCCTGTGTTTAATTTTTTTCCCTATTTAGTGTGTTCCTTCTGTTCTCTTCCGTGGAGTTCTGATCATTTTGGTCCCTCTTCAGAACATGTTTCAGTAGTCTATAGGATTGGCGTTGTCATCTTGAAATTCTTTAGTTGTTTTTGGCATGAAATTATTTCACTTCTCCATCAAACTTGAAAGAGAGTTTTGCATGTTATAGTAGTCTGGGCTGGAATTTGTTTGCCTAGAGGACTTGAAGTACTCTGCTCCATGCTCTTCTTGCCTTCATGGTTTGTGAAGAGAAATCGGCTTTAATTCTAATGGGTTTTCCTTTGAATGTGATCTGCTTCTTTTCCCTAGTGGCTTTCAGTATATTATTCTTGCACTGAATTTCTGGGATCTTAAGTATTATATGTCTCAGTGTGTTTTTATTTTTTTTTTATTTTTTTTTTTCAGTGTGTTTTTAATTGGGTTGAGGTTACTTGGCATTCTATATGCTTCAGTTACCTGAATGTCAGATTATTTCCTCATATTTGCAAAGTTTTCTGCTCTTACTTTTGCCCATATTTTTTCTTATTGATACTTATTAGCCTCACATTATTCATCTTTGCATTGTTTTGAAAGTAATGAATTTCTTTTTCCTGCATCGTAGTGGTTTTCAAGAGCTTTTTCCTTACCTTTCATTAGACGTACCAGCATCTTCAAGATCTGAAACTCTGCCTTCACTTTCATTCAAATGGTTTTGCATTCCTGTGATTGAGGTTTTAAGTTCCTTTATATCTCTTTGATTCTGCTTCACGTGATCTATTTCTTTCCTGTGTTTCTCATTCAAAGAATCCGTCATTTTTCTAATCTCCTCTATCTTTATATCAATGTCTTGTTTAGAAGCTGTTATTAATTCTTTTACTGCAGAGTATTTTCAGGTCAGTCTTCCTCCATATGTTTCTGTATTTGAATATTTACTTCAGATACTATGAGTTCAGAGAATTATTTTTTATTTAAGAAATTATTTCAGTTCTGAGTTCCTCTATGCCCTTCTGATGTTGCTTTTTTCCTTCTGATGCTGTGAATTCGTACATTTTATCTGAACTAGTGTCCTCTGCACTTGTTCTGGTTGGGCATTGTGTTTCCTCCATATGTTTCTGCATTTGATTCTTTACTGCAGATGCTTATAATTCAGGGATTTCTTTTTTCATTTTTGATCTGAGTTCCTCTATACTTTTCTGCAGTTGTTTATTTCAGAAGCTCTTGATTCACTGATTTCAGCTGTGTGTTTCCCAATTTTTCTCTGTGCTAGTATCATCTGTACTTGTTATGCCTGGGCCTGGGGTCTGAGATTGCATTTTGCTCATTCTTGTTGTCATTTTGTATAGCACTGTCTTCTGACGTTTGTTGTAGAGCTTTGGTGCAGTTATAACCTTAGCACTTATTGAAATTTGGATGCAGATCTTTCAGGTTTGAGTTTTCAGTTATGCTTTGCTTGGGTCTAGCTTACATGTTTAGCTCCTTCTTTGCACAGCCCTTTGAAGTGAATTTGTTGTGACCCTCTGTGCAACAGTGAAACTGTGGTGCTTCTCTGTTGTGCCCATGTCCCAGTGTGCATAGGAGAGTGCAGAATCTCTCCCATACACTACCTGGGCCTATACTTGGGCTGGGTGGGGTGATGGAGGTTTCCCAAGAGAGCAAGAAAGCATAGCAGAAAGGGTATTTAGAATGGAGCAGAAATGGTCAGGAGCTGGTGCCTGAAGGTCTCACTCACTGGTTTGTTCTAGCGTTGATCCAGGGAGCCATATTAAATTAATTATAACTATATGAAAGGTATTGAACTGGAAGATACTATAACTAGTTCAATGAAAACTCATAAAACATAAACATGAATATGGATCAAGAATATCAATATGAATATACAAGTTTTGGTAAAACTTTGTTTCATTGTAAGACAGAAAGGTAACTGAATCTCTAGCAGAAATGTACCTATTAGTGACTACAACATACATAGATATGTAAAGTAGTTGAGAGACCATGAAAGTCTAGAAGTTAATAAATAACTGAAAACTGTACACTATAGGCAAGGAAAAGTTCCTACTTTAATAACATTTCTGTTAGAATATTAATGTCTAAAAGAAAGATATTTTGCCCACAAAAGGAATGCAGAAAGCAATATAAGTCATAAGAAAAATTGCTGATGTTATAAATATTTAAAAGAGTAATCTGACAAATATGAAAACTAATTATTATCAATATTTAATTGTATAAATGGTAGAAAATGATTTTATTATATTATGGTGAGTGAGATAAATGTAAATCCACTGGACATGTGACTTAGCATGCTTTTGAGTTGCTGAGTATCTACAAAGGAATGTAAGATAGTCAGAGTAAATGCCTGGCTGTAACCAGAGGAGGTAAATGGTGTGCTAATCACCAGGTAATACTCTCATCAAAACAGAAATTTTTCTAGGGCTTTAAAATTTATTATAAGGTTACTGTTCCCTTAAATGATGTATCCAGTTACTGGGGCAACCAGGTTTATATCATGAACATGCACAGACAGAGACCTCAACAGAACTCAGTGGTCACCCATGACATCACAAAGCCATAAGTGTTACAAAGCCAACTCCTGACCAATAAAAACACAGAGCTTCTGTGATCACTGTCAGTTTCAGCAGCTCCTGCCACAGGACAGTACAAGATGGGGCAATTTTTTCAAGCACCATGACTGGGAAGAGAAGAGGGAACAAGTCTTCGAAGCCCAGAAAGAAGGGAATTTCTCGATCTTCCCGGGCAGAACTCCAATTTCCTGTGAGCCGAGTGGAGCGATACCTGAGAGAAGGTGGCTATGCACAGCGACTGTCCTCTACCACACTGGTCTTTCTCACTGGCATCCTAGAGTTTCTGACAGCTAAAATACTGGATCAGGCTGGCAAGGAGGCTCAGGAGAAGCACAAGAAACTCATCACCCCACAGCATCTGGAGACCGTGATAGAGAGAATCCAGCACCTCCATCCCCTTTTGGGGGATGGTATGAAGTCTCTGCTTTATGAGATGGTCCATGCCAAGGACAACTGAGGAGGACTGAGTCTCCAGTTCTGATGATATACTGTCTACATTCTTATCCAGATGCCCAAGTCCCCATCAATTAGAGAGCCCCTGCTATTGTCACCAGCCATGTCAATAAAGTGATAAAACTGATGCCAGTGCTTCTCTCAGTTTCTGTCACTTTTAGTTAGAGGCGTCTATGGGCATCCAGGACGGGCTACCCATTGAAGGTTTGGGGGGGTGGAAGCATCAATGGGAATCTAGGAGGGGCTACAAATTCAAGATTGGAGGATTAG